CGTTATGTTTAGAATTATGTTTTCTGTCTCCCACAGCCCTACAGAATTACCTAATATGCGACCCTCCTCTCGTGGTCACACTGACTTGTGGGAACAAATTCAGATGCCAGGCTCAGCCTATCAGATTCCCTCCCCGGGGAGACTCAGTGACTCCAGTGCAGGTGCTGAATCTGAAGAATCCTGGCATGTCAGGGCAGCTGTGCCACAGTGGAATGAGAGAGGCAGCCTGACAGACACAGAAGAGAGCAGACGTATACCCACAGGTAGAGAGGGGAAGCCAGGCAGCCAGAGGGAAAGAGAGGGGGAAACAGGCAAATTTCAAACAGGTGCTGAGGGACATTTATGGGTCAATTTCAGTGCCCAGCCCTTGTGTTTCAAGAGCTAATCCTCCTTTTAAAAAATCCCCTCTGTGTGTGTGTGTGTGTGTGTGTGTTACGTCTGAGAGCTTCAGTTCTTTGGTTTATATTTGAAGGGTGTCGTCTCTTAGGGCCAGATTGTCCTAAATACCCATGGTCCCCTATAGTTATCTGTTTATTCCCCATGAAGGCAAATTGCATGGATCTGGAATACAGGAGAACAAGAGTGAAGTAGAGCATCCAGACTTCCATTTACGGCGTGGGATGGATGTGTGGGGAAGGCTTCCTGGAGGAGGTGGGTCTCGAGAGAATCTTAAACACGTGATGACACAAACAGAACTAAAGGTCTCTCTATCAGGAGAGAGAATAAAAACCTGGGAAGTGCCATCTGTAAACTAAACAGGCAGGAGGCCATGGGCCTGAGGCTGTCTCTATATTCGGAGTTCCTGCACAGAGAACTGCAAACTAACTTAGAAAGTACACAAACCAAAATCTAACTTAGGAGTATATTTTTTGTAACAGACAACCATGTCTCAGCCAATCACAAGCAGCCAAGCTTCAGCCAATCACAGGCAGCCAACAGATTAGACTATGTCCAAATAAGGCAAATGCCTGGCTGTCACCAATCAAGCTACTTCTGTACTTTATTTCCTGTTCAGACTGTAAAAACTCACTATCTACGTTTCGCACTGGAGCTCTCTGTACCTCTCCTGGTTTGGAGTGCTATCCAGGTCATGAAAACTTTAATGCACAAATAAATTCTGTTAAATTTATTTTGTCTAAAGTTGTTCTTATAACATGTCACAGACAGGTGACCAGAACATGTGTTTAGGATCTCCTATGACGAGGGCAACCATACATCCCAGTCTAGGCCTGCTTACCCACAGGAATTATCAGTGTCCCCTTTCACTCTCAAAAGTGTCCTGGTTTGGGTGATACGTTACATGCCCCCCTGACTGTGGGACACAGCAGCGGTGTGACACCGGGTCTATTGGGGGATATCACTAAAGTTAACCATCCTCAGTCAGAAGGATGGGAGGGAGCCCTCCGTGGTATTTCTACTTTCCACCTCCATTCACAAAATTTCTTTCTTTTTCTT